TTTTTTTTTTTTGTTTTTGTTCTAATAGTTGTACACAATTTTGAGAAGAAGAATAGTTACAAGAATTCTTAAAGGAAGAATCGAAAGCTTGGCTTCGTTTGGTAAGAATCAAATCTAGAATTAAATGGGAAAATTCGAATTCAACTTAGATTGGTTTGGCTTGTGAAGGCTTGCTAGGCTTGAGAAATAGGATTTTACCCAATTTTCTAACTATTAGGTTGGCTTGTATGGTCATTATTCTGAGTTCGACTCGTTAATTTTGATAAATTAACTAAGCTCGAGATCGAACATAGTTCGGCCTATAGGACTAGTTATAATTAGTTAACAACTTCACATGCCACATTGGGTTTAACACAAGTTTATACAAATATATACCAACCTATATTTGTAAACATTGTTTAGTAAGTCCCTAGAGTTGTGATTAAACTTGGGAGACTTTCCTCCTATGTCCTCATGTCTATTAATAATTTAATATATTTCCATTGAGATGTAATTTAAACTTGGGACTTCTTACCAATTACAAAATTTATTTTAGACACCCTAGTCCATTAAGCCATCTCATGAAAGACCCTATAACATGATAAATCATACCCCCTAATACAATGCTGAGGGATTAATTTATAGTAAATGACAAAGACATCTTATACAACTTTGAGAAAAGACTAATAATATAAACTTGGGGAAATGTACCATCTCGTCAGGTGTTTTAACCGTTGGATAATCTATCTTATATGACTACATGTGAATTCAGCGGTTAAAACACCCGATAGAATGGTATCGCGCGTGTCGTATTATAAAAATACCTTATAGTGTATGTAGAAAAAAAATCATAATGCGTTTTACTTTTGGCCATTTATTTCCACACCATTCAATCGAATCACCGAAATAGCGTCCATTGCAATTAGTACAATACTTAATGGAAGTGATATAGAAATGGCTGTTCTACCCTTGAGACCTGATTCTTCATCTCATCTCTACTGCAGCTAAAAGGGGTGGGTAAAAACGGAACAAAAGGACAAGAAGAGGAATACGGCAGCGAGAGGGCAAGCAAGATGCTGAGCAAGGACTGCCAGCTCATGGGTCTGACGTGGCTGCTAGCCCGCAACAAGACGGTGTACATACCCACCGTCTCCGCCGTTCTCCGCGCCATGATGTACAGCGCCCACCCGCCGCGTGAGTCCACGTGCTCCCCCGACCAGGAGAACATGCCCCTCGCCGTCGATTCCCTACAGTTTGAACGATACGGTTCATCTTCCTCTGCAGGCGCCTTTATTCCGGTTCTGCCCCTAATCATTCTCTGTTATCTTTTTCTTTTGTAGGCCGTAGGCCCCACGTTTTGGATTTGTTGGGCGATGTTGTCCCTCTGCTGGGGTGGGGCCCGGCGTGTCACGTGAAGCTAGTTGACGAAAAAAAAAAAACAAACTGGGGTCATTTCTGTCAATTCGAAATCTCTGTAAATTTTTGTTGCGTTGCTTTTGGTTGATTTCTTGTCCGCGTGTGTAGTAATGTTACGAGGAAATCTTTACTTTTTTACCATACGCAGTCGTCTTCAACAACCTCTGCCACAATCCCATTTTTAATTTTTTTAATTTTTTTTTTATTATGTAAGGGTAAAAAGGGTCTTTTCGGGGGCAGTTGTAGTAAAAAAAAATGAAGGATTGATTAATCGATTGTTGCGAGTTGCCACACATGAATTTGTAATATTAATTTAAAAGTATTATGTCGTCAAATATATTTATGCTTAATGACTCGGAGGTGGTCCGAGTCGATGGCTAGCGACGGTTTCCGGTGATGCCGTGAATATTCTGAATCTCATTTTTTTAATAAAATAAAAAATAAAGATATTATTAAACACAAAAAAAAAATGAGCAAAATGAATCAAATGATCATTTTTTTCTCTAAAATAAGTTAAAATTAATAATATAAAAATAATGAAATGAATTAAAAAATGTTACGTTATATAATACTCTCAATGATAAATGAATTGTATAATTTCAATATGATTTTTGGTGAAAAAAAAAGGTACATTTTAGGTCTGATTTACTGTACCCACAAACGACTATCAGCATTGGTAGGTTCAAAGTGCAAGATCATTATTATAATTTGATGCTTTGTAGTAATGAAAAAATCATTATATAATAGAGTTCATGTTTGTAGTAATGATAATTTATTAAGATTCAGTGATGGCATGATTTTGGATGCCGAATTACCGTCCCATTAAAAGCATCTCCAAGAGCCTCCCTATTTCTCTTTTTTATCTCAAAAATAGAGATTTTCTCTCAAAAACGGTCTCCAACAGTTCTTCCAAACTTGGTCATATTTTTAGGATACCCTCAAATAGAGGTTTCTCTTCCTCATTCTTGGGGAGGGAAAAATGACCCCCCCATTTCATCTCCCCGCCATTATTTTTGATACGCGTTCTTTTCTTTCAACCTCTCGCGGTCTTTTTCCTCCATGCTCCTTTCATCTACCCCTCGTCGCCCTCCACCGCCGCATGAACAGGTCGAATCCCTCGCCGCCGCCGCATCTGCCGCAAACAAGGTGCCGCCGCCGCTGCCCGATCAAGACTCCATCGCCGGCATCTCGAGAGGTCCACCCAGTATGGGCTTAAAGTGGGCTTTTAGATAGATTTGTGGGCCTTGTTCAGATTTAAAATATAAAATTGGGAGACTCTTAGAGGACAACAGAAAATAGGAATCAAATGAATATAGGATGACTCCTTATTTCTCCAAATAGAAAATCTAAAATAAGAGGTCTCTTGAAAATATTCTTACACCGACTAACTTAAAAGTTGGATAAAACTATTCCACCTACAAAGGATGATAAAAAATTTAAAAATGGTATATTTGGTAAATTTAACTAAAAGAAAAAGAAAATAAAAATTAGTTGACGAGTGGGCTGAAATAAAAATTTAAAACATTTCACAGTTATCTAATAAAATATAAATCTACAATTTTTTATTTATTTAAAATCGTTCTACTAAACTCAAATTATTTAAGACTGTACTTAATGCATTACAATTACTCATTAGAATTCACCTCAGAAATGCGCATGTTGCTTGTGTATCATAATTTAGTTTTCAAAATAATTGAATTAATATAAGGGAAAATAAAAAAAAAATAATAATAGTAAGTAACTTTGAATAAGTTTCAACAAGTTTAGTTATCATTAACATAATTTATTTATCAAAATTTACCTATTAATTATTATTCATGTTTATGATTATAATTATTGTATAAAATGCGCTATTTGTGGGAAGTGTGTAACAGAGTTCAAATGATTTGTTAATAGTAATTTATGTTTACGTTGACGTTAACAAAAAGGTTTGAAAACTCGAACAATTACAACTCCCTAGATCGAGATTCGAGTATGTTGGTCATCTTGTCAATTTTTGGCAAAAATATGAAGGTTCACTGTTTTCTAAATTTGTTATTTTAATTTTAATTCACACCAGGATACATTAATTCATACAACCGTATCACGTAACTGCAAGGTTTTATGTTAAGCGGTATAACCCGACATTTTATTTTATTTTATTTTAATAATTAAGAATATATTTATTAGAAAATTACATAATTTAAAAAACATTACAAAAAAAAAAGTATGACATTAAATCAGATAAGTATGTATTTTTATTCGTAATAACATTTAGCCTGCTTCGTATAGCAATATATGGTTGTGGAACATACTTGATTTTTCACTAAACCAATGTTTGGTAAAATTAGCTGATAAGCTAGTTTACAGCTTATTAATAATTTTTGAGCTAATATCTTATAGCTGAAAAACTGGTTTATATGATAAAAGTGTTTGATAAAATTAGTTGATAAAACTAGCTGAAATAAAAATTTCAACGAGTTCATTTGAAAAGCTACCTAAACAAACTTATGAAATAAGCTCGAACTTTTTAAAAAATAGCTCGTCCTACCAAACGGAACTTATTTAAATGCAGGAAGCTCATAAGTTAACTAAATAAACTATAAGCTAACTTATTTGTCTACTAAACATAGTGTAAAGCCATTGTTCACAACCATATTTTTTGCATATTTATAACAAAGAATTCCATTTTCTTAAAAATAAAATAAATAAAAATTATAGCATTTAATAATTGAATATATATTTTTATTAAGAATGTGTATATTGAGTGGATCCCTAATTTGATCACCTTACACAATAATCTATACCAAGATTTATTTATTTATTTCAAAAACAGAGAGCACATGTTTTAAGGGAGGGAATCACGGTCTGATGTTTGTCGTCTACTTGAATTCTACCTTCTCACTGTATCTTATATATTTGTTGTCTTGCTTATTTGTTATTCAAATTCAAAAGCATCATTATTCAGAAATGCTAATTGAAAGGCACGTTGACTGATATAAAACACACACCAAGCAAGCACTTGTTATCTTTCATCTTCTGTAATTTAAAAATTATAATTATAATTTTTTCAGTTGCAATAATTTTTAGTCCAATAACTTTTGTTCAGTTGCAATTCCACTCAATTTTTTTTTTTTTTTT